CTTAACAAGAAAAGGCATCACTACATGGCAAAGTATAAATAAGGAATACGGGTTAACTTAAAATGTAAGAGCTAGTCAATAATAACCTTGAGCTATTGGTTGAGCATTTATAATTAGTAATAAGCCTCCATGTGGTTATTTGGGAAGCAACAGCTGGGTATTTTGGACAAAGCAGCACCAAGACAGGAAACTTCCTCATACATTACTCTAATTATTTAAGTATATAATGCAACTTGGATATTTATATGCATATATATATATATATGTACATATATGTGTGTGTGTGCACGCATTCCTGTTTGTTGTAAAATGATATAATAATGCTAGATGTCTTTCAATAAAAACTTAGGCACTTGACAAGTTGATGGACTTTCTTATTGTTAAGAAATGTTATCTATACCCTCCAGAGTATACAACACTTTTTTTTTTAATTCACACTATACTACTAAAAAGATGAAATGTAGAAAATGACTTTGCAGGGATTTTTGAAAGCAAAGCATTTGTAATGTTCACATTTGTCCTCTAATTGACCTAAAATGTTGGCAACTGTTTGTACTTTTTAAAACAAGACAAGATTTTCTGGCTGTTTTGCACTGCAAATTAAGTAGTATTGCCATTCAGAATTTATAGTTCAGATATTCAAACTATCAGTGATGGAAGTAGTTGTTGTAAGGACATTCTATATATCCTTGCTAACAAAAGTACAGTAGAATTCACTGTCTTTTTGGAACCAAGATATTAGAAACTGACTTATCTTTTAGGAAATCAGGTTTTGGGTCTGGTGTGATATTGCTGTTTCAAATGTCAGGTCTTATGAGCATGATAAAGGAAGATCACAAGTCCAAGGCTGTTCTGTGTCACATCCTGAGAACTTGTGCTAAGAAACAGAAAGAATATGGTACCCTTAGTAATTGAACTCTCTCTTTAACTAACTATTAAACTCTACTATCTCAGATGTCTCATTTGGGAAGAGTATATGATGTTTCTCCTACACTTTAAATGATGTAGCATTTATTCTGACAGACAATAGGTGTTAATGTCACAGGAGCCATATCCTTATTCTTATGGTTGTAGTCTCAAAGCCCATTTCCTAATATTACTTAAATTAAAATTTAGTGTTAGAGTCTAATTAGCAGATTTATCTTTACTATATATTGAAGACAAATGAAAGATTTTTATGTTCCATATGATTCAAAGGCAATCTAGAAGTGAAAATACTATAAATTTGAACATAGTATTTTGTTATTTTTCTGATGTGTGGACTGATCATTACACACAGCAACTTGGAATAAATAAGATCAGAGGGCCTTTATGAAGAACAATGATATTTGTTTAAAGGAGAAAATAATGAACTGGGGATATGGGGGTATAGGACAGTTACACAAAATAAGTTTGATATGTACGAATATTTTATCCTTGATGAATGTTCTCTATTGAGAACTGTGCTATAGAAACAGGCCAACCGTTATAAATATGTCAATCACCTTCAACTCCAACAGTGTTTGACAAGCTCATGAACAATGTTTAGAAAGAAGGTAATGAAGAAAAGCATACAGACTGGTAGACATCTGGATTCATTATACTGGAAGAATTCTAGTCATCAGATGCCCCCATGTTAAATTTTCAACAAAGGAGGCAAAATTATACTTTGGAAAAGAAAAAAATAGCCTAATTAAAATAAGGTGCTGGTAACATTATATTTCTACCTGCATAAGAATGTAGTTAGATTTATTTCTCTCACTTTGCACAGTTCAATTAAAAAAGCACAAAGTTCCTTAAATAAAAAGGAAGTATCCACAAATACAAATATCCTTAATTTAAAAAGGAAGTATCTTAGGAAAAGAATAGCCTAATTAAAATAAGGTGCTGGTAAAATTATATTTCTACCTGCATAAGAAAGTAGTTAGATTTATTTCTCTCACTTTGCACAGTTCAATTCAAAAAGCACCAAATACCTTACTTTAAAAAAGCAAGTATCCAACAGATACAACTGCATGACAATAAGAGATTTCATATAGCTAAGAAAACAGTTAACAGAATTTTACAGTCATACTAAAGAACAGGAGAATATCTCTACCAGAATTTACAAAGATTTGCAGAAATTAAATATTAGGGAAATGAAACTGCCAATCTACAAATGGACCAATGAATTGAATAAAGAGGATTTAAAATGAATATGGCCAATAGCTATTTTTGAAAGTGTTCAATAGCTCTGACAAACAGGAAAATGCAAAATAAAATTGTATTGAGGCAAAATTTTCCACCCCATACAATATGGCTATTATCAACCTATCTGATAGGAAATGTGAATGAAAAGGAACCTGTATTCCCTGCTGGTGGAAAAGCAAATTATTACTGCTCTTGTGGAAACCACTATGGAGGTTTCTCAGCAAACAAAAAATAGAATTATCATATGATTCAGAAATTTCACTCTTGGGTGTATAGTACAAAAACACTAAACCCAAATATATATTTCCTCCCCAGGTTTTATTGCTGCTTTATTTCTTATAAATTGAGCTGCACAACTATCGATGAATAAAGAAAATCTGTGTTTGGTAAACAGATGGGTAGATAGATTATAGATAGATAAATCAGTAATCCATATGTAACAGAATGCTACTCAATTCTGAAAAAAATAATAAAAATTTTAAGTAAATTGATGAACTTAAATCGTATAATATTAAGTAAGATCACAGTTTTAGAAAAAACACATTTTCCCTCTTTTTTGATTCTAGCCAATAAAACATATATACATGTAAACAAAAGTTTATGTGGAGAAAGAATAGAGAACAAGAAAGACTATCAGAAGATGAGGAAAGACTAATTCAGGTAATGGACACAAGTTATGAAATAGGATATGAAGCTAACTGTTTTTTCCTGTTCTAATTTTCTCATGGAGTTTTTTATTTGAGTTTTGATAAGTGATTAAAGTATATGAAAGAATAAGATGTAATGTGAAACCCCGAAGTTTCTCTCTGGAATGATATTTCAACCTTATGGAAGTTAATTGAATTGTATAGACTTTGAGTTACTTTTGGTGTGCGATTTTTTTAAATTAAATTTATAAATCTTTTTAAAACTAATAAAGTTAATAACTTTATGAAAAGACATTTAATCAGAATACATTAACTATCCTGCTTTAATTTTCATCATGCTAAAACTTTCTACTCATAAAGTGAGATAGTTATTTGATTTGACCTAGAGTAGATAAAAAGGATCAGGTGGTTGGAAAGAGTCCTGTTCTTTACCATGACCTGAACAGCAACAGACTGCTGCCTGAGGCTGTGATTTCAGCAAGGAGAAAATATATAAAAATTTTAGAAGTTATAATACATCCAGGGATCCCATGTAACATTTTATACATGCCTAAGAAAAAGACAAAGCAAGAACAGACAGGGCAGGATACCACTCTCTCATGTATGTCTGTTTTCAAATCTTTCCTCTTTTAAATGTAGAGAATTCATGCTACAAATTGATCAGTAGGTATAGTGTCTCTCAAATCCAATGACTTGTACTATATTTTAGTATCATTATTCTGCATTTTAAAATATCTTGTAATTTCCATCGTGAATGCTTCATTGATATATTGGTTATTTAACAAAATGTTTTTAATATCAGCAAAGATGTGAATTATACAAGTTTGCCTCTGTTTTTTTATTTAATTTCATGTGGTTATGAAGTTTAATCTATGTTACTTTTATTAACCTTAAATCTATTGACATCAAAGATTGAAATCTATTAAATGATTTCAAGAAAATTTTGAAGTAAATTATATTTTCTCTTTAAGTGAAGGCAGAGAAAGATATTTAATATAAGATTGTTATTTTAAATATTAATAAATGTTAATATTTAGTAGTAATATTTAAAAGAATAATTGAAAACTTACTCAAACAGTAATTTGAAATAATACACATAATAAAATGTATAATTCTTTTTATAGTGCAAGTTACAGTTAATATTCAGGTATCATGAAAACAAACTCATCAATTGAAAACTATTGCTATAAAATGCAAAGTACCTTAATGATTTAAAAGACATATTTACCAACACGTGAATTGATATGAAACTAATGGGGGAAATACGTCTGTGTATGTTTATAAATAAAGTATTTGCTTGGCCAATGAGACAGCAGGTTAGGCTGGACTAGGAGTCAAAGAGGATTCTGGGAAATGTAGTAGAGAAGTGGTGTTCCAGAGAAGGAAGTGACATAGCAAGGAGACTCATATTTAAGAAGAAGAAAAAGGAAGTGTCGCTCTCTTTTCCCCTCGGCTCCTGCTCCAGCAGCACGATGTGATTCACCAGCAAGGAGGGACGCCAATATGGCGTCTGATAAGATAAGTCCCATAAAATATATAGATGTATGGTAATTGAGACTGAGCTAACAAATGAGAATCCTAGTCATTGGCCAAGCAGCTTTGTAACTAATACAAGTCTCTCTGTGTATTCATTTGGGCCTAACTTGGGCGGGCGGCTGGCGTAAAGCTCTCACGTGGTAGTGGGGCTCAGGCAGCTTTTGGCAAAAAGATTTATCGTAACATGAATCAACGTGGCTTGATAAACTGCAACTATATGTATGCCACAATTGCCATTATTCATACTTTATTTTGAAAGATTAAATGGTTACAAACATGGATATATAGTATGAAAATTTTAGTACATTATTATTGCAAAAAGAATAGGAGCTATAAGTAATGAAAAGGAAGAAATAAACACTACTTCTTTATACTCTGACTTAGATGATGGATAATCTTAAGGAATATAATAAATGTGCTATAATCAAGTAAAAACAATTAACAGTATACAGGATGTAGGGCATTGCACAGCATTTATTACATTTATTCACTGCAAATGAAAATCCAATAAGGATTTAGAGCATTCATTTTGTACCATCAATCATAATAACACAATAAAAATTAATTCATACAAAATTACATGAGGGTTTTTAAACTGAAAATTACAAAATAATTATGAATTGAAAAATGTTTAAGGTAAATTTAGATGAATTAATGTTTCTATAATCACAAATTCTACCTAGATAGATCCATAATTCAATATTTACTCTAACAAAATGTTTATTGCTTACAGAAGTGAACATGCTAAACTTAAAGTTTACATAAAACTGTAAGGTATACACACTAAGACACAGAACGATATTCAAATATAAAAATTTGAAGACTCATATCTCAGTTTCAAAATATACTGTGAATTTGAGTATTTGAATCAGCAATTTTCTATATGAGCAATGACATGCAGCTTTGTAACAATTAGTCTTTCTACCAGCCACCCAAGTTCGGCCCAGTACCATGTTAAGGTCCCAAGTAACACACAGATACTAATGTTAGGTACAATGCTGTCGGTCAATTACTAGGACTTCTTATCTGCCCTCTCTGTGTTAAGTATCAACCATAATTATTAATCTATATATTTATATACTTACCTTATTGAGGACACCAGCTGAATGTGCCCTGTCTTCCTGGCAATCCCATGTCGACTGCAGAGAAAAGAGCAAGAGGAAGAGGCAGAGAGAGCAATTTTCTGCTTGTCCCTGCTTATATTCTGAGTCTGCCTGCTTTGTCTATTCCTTCCTGGATCACAAGACTTATCTTTATTACATTTCCCAGAATCCTTCTTGACTCCTAATCCTGCCTAACTTTCTTCCTCTTTGGCCAACAGTACTTTATTTAACAACCAATAAGATAAACATACACAGAAGGACTTGGCCCATCACAGTTCCATGGACTAGGACAGTGGTCAGTTGTAATAAGACATATGTGATCACTTTTAACAAACATAGCATGTCAATCCAATGAACAAACCATCATTTAGTATGTTTCATTAGATCAAACAGTACAGCATTCTAGAGGAGCAATAATGAGTAAACACATTGTGTAGACAGAAGTTTCTGTCTGACCAAGTCCCACAGCAGTTTAGTCCTAAACAAACACACAGAGGCTTTTATTAATTATGAACTGTTTAGCATATAGCCCAGGCTTCTTAATGGCTAGCTCTCTCACACTTATTAACCCATTTCTATCATATGTGTATCTCCCCATGATCTTGGCATACTGGTGATGCTCAAGCCACTTACTTCCTCGACAGCTACATGGCATCTCCTCCACTCCACTTACTACATTTCCCTATCCATATTTGGATTTCCTGCCTGGATAAATCCTGCCTGTCCATTGGCCAAAACAGCCCTATTCATCAACCAATAAGGAAAACTTACATTCACAGCATACAGAAGGACATCCCCTATCATCTCCTCTTTGCTATCTAAATAAAATGAAAGGTATTCACTTTAACATAGTACAATTATATATAACAAAACAGTTACCAAGGATGAAGCATAGTTAATGATATTAAGTCCACTAACATTTGGCAAAATTTAAAGAAAATAATCAATCCTATATTTGTATATCTAAAGTTTTATATGTAACTTATCTTTTATCATAACTAAGGAAAAACATAACCATAAATATTGGTATTGAACTACATCAAAGACCCTAGAAGGATAATACATAAACTCTAAAATTGACACAGACATCTCATTGCCTGGAGCGTCACACAACGTTCCTCTTTAATGAATGTTGTGACATTCCCTATTCAGTCTATAGGCCCAGAAAGTCTGGCACACTTTTTGAGGAAGCACAAACCTTGAAGGACCATCCTTTCCCTTGGCAAGTTCAGCAGTCACTTTCTTTGTAACCTGCTTATCCAGTCTGGACAGCATGCTGTTAAACAGTCCACAGAAGAACAGTTTCTTATCCAAATGTCTATCCCTGCCACATTGAAGGCAAACTTCATAACAAATTTATTTGATACCCACCATCATCTCTGATGTAATTGGTATTTCCCAGGAGCACTTCTGTCTCATTGTCTTTAAAAACCCTAATAAGCTATTTTAAATGCCACATTCTGATGGTGTTTGAAAGGTTGTGAGGAATACCTATCTATTTGAAATATATATCTGTATACCAACAAAACATAGCTAACATAAGTTTTGGTTATTATAGGTGACAATGTATAATATGCATTTAATTACACATTACATTTCAAATGAGCTGTATAAACACAATAGCTAAACAAGAGTAGAAATATACATTTATCAAAATTGACCTTAAATTTGTGTCTTTTATTAAGGCTGGGCAATGCAATCCACTAGGAGGAAAGAGTCTCAATAGCTGGCAATAGTGTCAGAGATAACCCTGTTCCCTCTTGTCATGAGTGCCACAAGGAGGCCAAGCCCCAAAAGTGTAAACCATGAACAGAGGGACCATGTCCCTCTCATTGGCAGTACTTTCTGTGCTCTTTGATACTAACCAGAATCTGAATATGATTTATTTGGAAATTTGGGCTCCTTAGTTGTTTCCAAAACTCGTCTCTTATTTTTCCCCCACTCTACTTCCTGTGAGACTAGTTTCGTACCCCATTGGTATCTCACATGCATTGATTCTTCCCTCTGATTTTTTTCTCTACTGTTCAGCCCATTATTCCTCAAATCACAGCAAAATATCTTCCCACAAGGCTTAACTATGTCTTTCATGGCAAAAACAAAAAATGTCCCTTTTTAAAGAATACAACTCAGTAGCTGACACACAAAATGGTGTGTGCCACATAACCATGTACAATATGTCCTTTTAACATAGAATTAAGACACATAGTTATAAAAAACCCATTTTTCTTTATTGCCAAGAAGACGAGTGTGCTTTGGATAACTTATTATTTGAAAATGATATGTTTTTTTATTTTTTTAATAGTAGAGATACTGAAAGGTATTTGTTAGTCTGTTTGAATCTAATATTTATGAAATGATTTTATCCAAATTTTTCTTCTCCCATAGGAACAAAAAGAAAACTTCTTCCTCAAAATAGCATATATTCTGGCATCCATTTTCTGGTGAGTACATCTTTAACTTATACAGGCTGATTTAATTCATATATTTTTTAATTTTATCCAATGTCTCTCTGTAACTGTTGATCTTTCTTGATAGCATTTTAAAATTTAAAGTTAAGAAAGTGCTGTGTACTCTTTCTCCTGGGATCTTTATTGCCCCTCTCTGCTCATTAGGTGTATCTTTTAAAATGCCATTACATCTTTCTATTCTTGTCCTGAGGAATTTTTTGGCATACCTGTAATATGCAAATAATTTTCTTGGAGTATTTAAGTCCTTATCAGCTTGTCAGGTTTGAAATAAATTTTTTTGCTCTGCAGTCATTAATTCAATTATGAGCCATTGGCTTATATATCTCCTGGAAATGTTGAAAATCATTAAGAGTTTGTAATTGTTTTTTCCTCATATGTAATTTCTGTGATTGAATTTTCTGTAAACCTACTTTCCATCCTAGGTAATTAATACAAACTCCTCTTTATGTTTTCAGTAGAAATTTGTAATGACCAACAAGACACGATGATACTTCTTCAAACATTTTAATAAGATATCGTATATGTGAATCAGCCAATGGTGAAAGCAAATTGTTCTCTATCCTGTTCTTGTAAAGATGTAGTAAAATTCAGTCTTTAAATAAATCATTATAATATACCATCCCTTGGTAAGGCAAAGGGCCTATTGTAAAGAGCCCATTGGCTGATTTACCAGATTTAGAGCTCTCAGACATGTTACCATTCTTCATTTTCCAGATTTTTTAAATAACAAAAGTAGGATTCAAAGGGTTAGTCAATTTTTCAATAAGTTGGGCATTTGACAGGTCCTGTGCCAAATTTTCAAATACCTGTAATTTTTATGATGTCACAGGCCATTGTTCTCCTCCCATAAATATTTCCATTAACCATTTTATTGGTAAGGCTGTTGGTACCTTACAAAGACCAACAGCTGTTGTGCCCTGCTTATATAGAATCTGAACTGTCAGTGACTGTTCTTGACAATACCTTTTAATATTTTTCTCAGATATATTCTTTTTTGTTTCTGAAAAACAAACCCAAATTTCATTTGGATATGTCAGTTTTTATTATAATTTAAAACCAAAGCCTCAGGATAAGAAAGCTGTCTTATCAGATTTCAAAAGGAGAAGAATAGAGATGAGAAGGGAAACAAAATCTAAAATTTTACTCATTGAAAGAAGTTAGCATGGAGTTCAGCAAGACAATAGAGTAATTTGGATTTTAAGATAAGAAATTTATATGTATCCCCTGTCTGGTTTAAGATTTGAAATTCTGAACTTATATGTATAGAAAATATTCTCCTTACCCTGCAGATGTGCTATGAGCTCATAATTGTGATGTTTTGTCATGGCTAGAGACCATATATCATAGATTTTCTTTGTATCCAGTGCTTTTCTATGCCCTGTCAAGTTCTGCAGTTGCTTATAAAATAATTACTCAGAGGCTTAATATTAATTATAATTGCTTGTTCAATGGCTTAGTCTTATTACTAACTAGCTTTTACATATAAACTCACCCATTTCTATTAATCATTGTATTGTCACATGGCCTGTGCCTTACTAGTAATGCTGGCATTTTACTTCTTTTGTGGCTTCTTGGGTCTCCCCTTACTCTACCTTCTTTCTCCTTGTATTTCTGCTTAGATTTCCTACTTATCTATATTCTTCGCTGCCATAGGCCAAAGCAGTTTTATTCATAAACCAATAAAAAAATACATATTTGCAGTATTCAAACGGACATCCTACATCACTTCTTCCTGTCATCATCCATCTCTTAAATTCTTTCTTCCCTATCTTTTTTAATGTATGCTGAGTCTTTTGAGCATTGATATAAACCATCACATTTAAATGATGAACACTCAATAACCATTTGTTTTCAGCACTATTAAGTATCACTTAACATATAAATTCCCATCATACCCTACAAAGAAAAGTTTTAAAGATCATGGTTGAGAATAATACTTGTCTATTGGTACAATAATTAAAGCATTGGAATTTGAAAGTTGACTTATCTCTACTAAGACACTTGAACAAGTAAAATCCACAAAACAAATAGAGAACAATGAACATCTAGAACATAAATTGCACATTGTTTTAATCAAATTTCAGTTATTGTTCTTCACTTTCCAAGTGATATATTTTTCTTATGTGTTAAAGTATTGGTTTCACTTCTATTAACTACTGAACTAACCTTCAGCACTTAGCATTCTTTCTTTAAATTATCTACTCACATAATCAAGTCTAGGATTTATGATATAAGAAAGTCATACAAAAGTTGATTGTTGTATTTGTTTTTATTGATAACCATAGTAAATTTGGCACAAAACCAGAGGCTGTATAGATGGTGAAATTCACAATACTTCAGTCATACAATTACTTATTTTTTAATACTATATTGAAAAGTAGATTATTTTCTCTAATAAAGTATGACTTACAGACCTTATATAGGAACCATCTTTTGGAAGTCATCTTTAGAAGAAATACAACTTGGAAATGAAACTGAGAACAGATTGGGTCTTTCTGTAGTCTGTCTCCAATTCACTTTTATTTGACATGTGCTTAATGATATCACAAGCACTGATTTATTTGCCAGATACTAGGATATTTTGAGGAAGACAACTACTATTCATTAACTATACAAGTTCCCAATCACAATTTAGGTATTTTGGACCATTATAGATCATTGCCTGTTCTCAAATGTGTAATTTTTAATTTGTGACACAAAAGCTAGTTGCCTCTTCCATATTAACAGAAAAAAAGAAAAACAAAAGAAACCAACAAATATCTAGTGATTCAAACAATTATACCAAAGACCCAAACTATAGCATGACTTTATACATGGTTGTGACATAGATTATCCAGACTCCTATTTATTAATCACATATTATTTGGACCAGAGGCTATACAGAAGATAGTAATATCCAATCCACTTAAAACCAAAGCATCACTGTATACATTAATACAATACTGCTTTGCCACTGTCCCTATGAACATTATTTTCTTATGAAAGGGAAGTTTTACTCCCAGGGCTAAAAGGTTCAAAGAATATTTTATATGTTTATTTCAGAAAATCTGCCTTTCTCCCCTCAAATTTATATCAAACTTTTCAACTCTAAAAACCACAATATACACCACATGTTATCTTTCACTATTCTCTGTACCCATCACATTTTATTTTTGTGCTACCACTTAAAAATAGAAATCCTCATATGGTAATGCTTATAACAGTTAATCTTAATTATCAGCTTGATTGTACTAGGATTCAAATGAGAGAAATTTGAATTATGGGAAGGTCTATTAGGTTATTTCTTGGAGCGACTAACTGAGCGAGAAGAGCATCCCCATATCCAAATGAGAATGGCACTGTCAGGCTTCAGTCACCGAATAAAGAGTTTCAAGGCACAAGCTGTTTCTTTCATGCCTGCCTGACTAATCTCACTGCTGGGGAGTACATCCACTCCTAAGTTGACACTGCTGTAATTTTTCATTAATAGTGTGGAATGAAGACCCACAGTTCACGGGAAATCTTTTCTTTCCCCATTTTCATATTGGGACAGCAAGGTATCAAGCTTTGTAGACTGAGCAGCACTTAGGTTCTCAGCATGTACAGTGTGAAAATGGCCATTTTGGACTCTCTAGACTATATTGTGTAAGCCAATCCAATAAATCCTCTTTGCCATATACACCAATTAAATCAGCCTTGTTACATTATAGAACCCTGATTAATACAATTTTCATACAGCCAAAGAAAGTATAAGTTCAGAGATTGTAATTTACCTCAGGATGTAATTTCACAAATATTCTATATTTAATGTCTTTTTTCTGAGACACTGTTAAACTTGTTTTGCATAAGCAGGTCATATGCAATTGCCATATATAAAACAAGAATATAAGTGTATAGCAAAGATTTTAAATCAATGAAAATGTACTCAGTGTTCTTTCTATCCAGTGGCATTTGTTTGCTTATCCCAACACTGATTTCAGTTACACTTTGATAGCTCACAATGAAGCGAACATGTTTCTAAACATTGCTTGTGTATTTTATTCTATTTTACACATTAGAAGACCAATTGTATCATATGAAACATAGTAGACCATAACATAAACTTAACTTCTAGCATGATTACCATTATATCATGTACAACATGTGGAACATAGTTTTCTGTAGCTCACAATATCTTCGCTATTTATTTCTTTACTCACATTGCAGATAAAGAATCTGAAACTAGAAGCTCTTAATAGTTCAAGAATTAAAAAAGGGTAAATGCAAAAATTATAAGTTGATACATTTTACTTCTACCTCCCCACATATTCATGTTTTAAGTTTCTTAAATACAAAAAAGTCATAAATTCCACACAATTATGGTTTCTTAATTATTAAAAAGGACAGAGAGTTCCTATAATTTGTACTTTTTGAAGTGAAACTCTGCAAAAAGTATGACCTGTAATCACATGATAAATGTCATAACCAAACATTAAAAATTCCTTCTCTAGGCAAAGTTTTTCAGAAAATATGTCATTGGCAAATGTTAAATAAACTGTATGCAATTTTTCTAAGTGGACTGTGTAAGTATTTAAAAGGAACAAATAAGTGATGCTTGGGGCCATTGATAAACAAATAAATGTCTATTGACTTAGAGGGGAATTCCCTATATGTACAGTGTCAATTGGCCCAGTATAAGACCAATTAGAGGTTTTAGCATTTATTTATCAAAAGTGTGTTAAATTTATTCACATCTAAAGTTCCTTAAAAAAACCTAAGTAGAAAGCAGCTGTACATATAAATATAAACAAATTTAACCTTTAAAGAAAAGAACTTCAAAGAACTGGGTAATAGAACCTTTATTAATGCACTTACTTTCATCAAATGGAATAGTGAATAAATTACATAAATTATAATATTGTTATTTTTAAGCTTGAGGGAAAAAATAACCATAGACTATGGAGTAAGTGTCAAAAACTGCAGAAATTGATTACCTAAATTAACTTTCTGCTAATGGATTTCCCATATAATTAAGTATGTACGTCATGAGCCTGGAAAGTGATAAATTGCTGTAGTAGAACATAGTCACATATGAAATGACTAAATGTAGAAATAACATTATCCATTATACATAAATTATAAATATCAACAAGAATACACAAAAATTAGAAAAAGCATTAACAAGTTTACTGGGAGAAGATGGACCCTACACATGTGTGCACGCACGCGTGTATGTGTGTGTGTGAGGTGTGTGTGGTCTGTGTGTGTGTGTAGAGGGGGGGACATATAAAATACTATATATACTATATAATACTACATATACATATGACAGGACAGAGTCAATCTCAGGTACTTCAAAGGAATAATAACTTTATAACTATAACACAATCACAAGAAAGATAACAATGAGTTTAAGTGGTAAATATCAGTCATAAATTCATTATTTTTCCATAGCATTCTGAAATCAACCTCCTAATTTCATGCCTCTCTCATTTGAAAATCTTTTAATCTAAAATCTATGTACATCCCAAAATCATGTTCAGTAAAATTCCTGGCTTCTCAGTTGCTCCAAAGACACAATGAAGAATGGGTGGTCACCAACAGGACAGTCATAGTGCAATATCCATCAGAAGTAAGTTCCCATATGTATTCTATAAAATGTGGTATGTAAAATATAATTCACTGGTTTTATGTTTTCAGTGACCTTCCTTCAAGCTTACAATTGCAAAGATATACATAAAAATAAATTTTAAAACTTGAATACTGAAAAAAGTGGCTTTCATATGCTAAACTATATGGCAAGATTCAAGCAAACAGATGGAATAAACAGTAGGAGGATGGAAATTGAAAAATCTTATTTGATTAGCCCAAGAAACGCCATATGACATCAATTCTAAAATGGCAATGTGTATATATATTTTCAAATTCTCCAGATGAAACTTACTAATGCAAGAAGCCAGTAGAATGTTAACAACTATGTTTCTTTGTTTCTGATATTGTTAATGCTATAGGATTTGCATTATTATCTACTTTTCTCTCTAAAATGTTAGCGGAGAATCTAAAGTAAATGCTTTAAATGGCCACTCTATACTAAAAACATATTTAGGAAAATAATGCTAATGTGTTATGTGAATCAACTGTACAGAATATAAAATCTTAGGCTCCCATATGGTAAATACACAATGATAAAAACACATCATTTTAAGCATCTTGCCATGGAAGCAAACTGACTTGAACCATTTATAGTTTGTCAATTTAATCTTTGCAGTTTCAATTGAATACCAAAGCAAGAATATGAAAAGTGTATATATTTTCAGTTTAATGTTGATTGTTCTACTTACACTTAAAATTAGAAGCTGAATAGATGACACATTTTATCTTATGAATAATTTTAATTATGTGGTTTCTATGGCATGCAGAAATGATATATTGAATTTAGTGTTTTTTTCACAATGTGCTTTTAGTTTAAATAGAATTAAATACTTCCCTCTAAGGATTTCTCAATGTTGGGCTCTAGAGAATAATAATGCTATATTTCATTAAAATATATGTCTATTTTAACTCTTTTGAATACCTAATTCCAATTGTAAAATTGAGACTTTAGTCTAACATTCAATATTGATTAAGATGATATCATATTTTTATGCTCCAAACACATTCCACCTTCCATCATTCCATTTTATTTGAAAAAAAATATTGCGATAGAACTTAATAGTAGTAGTGGGTTGGCTAAATGCAAATGCCAACATTTCATGCTTAGGGTAATCATGCCATGATGATTGCGGTTTGGTTTAGAGTTGTACTTGCTAAGTAGGAATATTGTTGCTTTCCTCTTTTAGAAGTTTTCATGGAAACTTCTAATACACTAAAAGCCAGTCATTGAGGGAAAGGCTTTCAGGTCAGATGGTTCTGAGATTTTCTTGATCCTGTGTATGAAATAAATGGTGTCTTTAGAAAGAGTGACTTACATTCTAAATCTGGGAAGCTACCAATGGCAATAGCTACAGCTCATGTTTTTGGAGTCTCTTGGAAAATTCTGATTAACAACACAAGAGGCACCAGGGGGATGGAGAGTGTTTTTAACACAGAATGATAAATTTCATTTAAACACTTTATATGTGCATACAAACTTCTATACTTTATGTGTAATTTTAGGTGGAAAACTGCTATGATTCCTCATGACATTTTCAAATATCCTTGCTGTTATTGGGCACTCCTGCTTCCTTCTGTATTTACATTCCCTCAACCTTCCTCACTTAAGGTTCCCAATTTTCTCTTTTGCCTTTCAGAAAATGTTTGCAGCATAATGCTTGTCTTTGTTTCTCCTCTGCCTGATGTTCTGTACATTCTTACTTTCTGCAATTCCTCAAGGTTAGATATTTAAATCTGAAAATCTGACACTAGGAAGCACACATGAAAATGTGTTGCTGGACTGTGGTGGCACATGCCCTTAGTCCCAGCACTTATTGGGAACAGACAGGTGGATCTCTGTGAGTTCCAGGCCAGCCTGGTTTATAAGGGCCAGTTCCAGGAGAGGCAGAGCTGTTACACAGAGAAACCTTGTCTCAAAAAACCTAAAAGAAAAAAGAGGAAATAAAATTTGTGACATTTGTATTTTTCAGGAAGGGTTACTTCAAACATTATGATCATTTCTAGTCCTATCCATTTACCTGAAAATTTAATGAGTTTGATTTTATTTTCAGCCTAGTAGTATTCCATAGTGTATATGTCCTTCATTTTCATTATCCCCACATCAGTTGAAGGATGCTTAGGTGGTTTCTATTTTCTAGCTAAAGTGAATAAAGTAGCAGTCACTTGAATGAGCAAGAATTTATGGAATAGGATGTTGAATTCTTCGAGCATGTGCTGAGGAGTGGTATAACTCTACCATAGTGTAAATGCATATTTAATATTTTGAGTTTTTCCCCAAACTGATTTCCAGAAAGGCTGGACCAGTTTTTGGGGATCCCTTCAAGTGTCATGAATGACAAGGAAATGATCTGTGAGTAAGAAGGAAACCTGATTCAGCACAGCTTTGTAAGCCACTGATCGTTCAAACTTCTAGTGACTGACATCAGGCCAGTTTATTTTTAACACATCTCAGTACAGTACAACTTTGATAAACGCTTTCTTAGTAACAATTATCCAAATCCTATGTGCAATTAAAGCTTACGGCATAAATGTATCAAACTCTTTTGCAAAGTGCTTGTGATATCTCTCCTATGGATGGGTTCTATTGACTAATAAACAAAGGTAGAGATAAAGGTTTAGGGATGCAGAGGCTGTTAAGGTCATTCTGGGGGATTTGGGTGAGGACTGATCCTACCTACAGAGATCAAAGGTCACCAGGTTATTAACAATGTCCTCTTCCAATCTTCTTGTTGGAAAGCAGGTATTTAATATTTCCTGCATGGAGGAGACAAGCTTGCAGGATTAACATTCCCAGTTTATCCAGTATGAATCTGTGAGTATGCATGCCCTCTACAAGTTTGCAGTCCTACTAAGAGTGAGTTAACATTCCTTCTATTTCCTATATCTGCAAGCAATAGTCATTTATTTGATCTTTGATATTCTGAGTGGAGTAAGATGAAATCTCAAATGTTTTTTATTGATATTTCCCTAATTAGTAAGGACAATAAACATTTTAAGAGGTAGTTCTTAGAAGTTTTATTTTTCTTTAGAGACCTCTCAGTTCACATCTCTAGCCTAACCCCTTTTATCTGAATATTTATACCTTTACATTATTCCTCTGTCAAATGTGCACTTGAAAAATATTGTCTTCCATTAGGGGGGCTTCCATTTAACTTAATTGCTTATGTATCCTTACCTTTCAAGAAGGGTTTCAGTTTCATGAAGTCCATTTGTAAATGGTTGATCTAGATTCCATGACAAATGTGGCCCTATTCATATAGTACTTTCCAACACCAGGAGCTTAGAGAGGGTCCTCAACATGTTTGCTTGTAGTAGTTTCAGTATTTCATGTTTTTGAACCATTTTCAGTTAGGTATTATACAAGGTGATAGGTAAAGGTTTAATTTTATTTTTTGACATGTACACATCCAATTTTCCAAGTACCATTGGTTGCAGATGGTGCTTTTTTTTTAAGCAATGTGTGTAATTGTCAGCTTTTCCAAATATTAGATAGCCTGAGTTACAGGTACTCATGTTTGGGTCTTCAATTTGTTCTATTATTCTACATGCTCTTTTTGCCTTTTTGTACCAATGCTATATTCATTTTATCACTGT